CTCTGTTCGTTGTCAAGCTTTTGGTTTTCCACCACCAACTATGGTTTGGTCGAGAGAATTTGTCCCATTACCGCAAGGCCGGACCAACATTACTAAGAATGGCACCCTTATTATCACCAACTTTGGTCCTCTAGACAGTGGTACATATCAGTGTAAAGCCAGCAACAAGCTTGGATCTGTTAATGTGCTAACAACCTTACATTATGATGAACAAGGTCAGGAAACTTACGTTTTTAATTTTAACTAAAATTAAAGAAGGAGGGTTTATATGCAACCGGAAGCGAACGCAATCCTTTGCCAACAGTCGACTGCATTAAATGAATTTATTCAAATTCTATTTGTTCTAAGAGCCTACTACATGACTTACAGTATACAGGTGAGTGTTACGAAAACCAAGAGAAAGGTGAAGGTCCGGATCCACAAGATCTCACACTCTCTTAGGTTTTTACACTCTCTCAGTGACGTAAGGAACATTTCAATAATTTCTATGCAAAAGTGGTTGACTGCTTCGTAGGGAAAATTTTCGCTCCTATAAAATTCTTTATATCTGCAAAGTGTACAGACTTTCGCTTAATAATGAAGATGAGGATGAAAAAAATGCTTACTAGAGAAACAAACTTGTAAGGAATTAGCTGGTGTTGATGCCAAAGATATTTAAATTTTTTAGTAATTGCATCGCTTGTTATTTCTAGTTATAGTTAGACGTTAATTTATCGTTTTCCCCTGCGACAATATTAATAATGGTGAAAGTTACTAAGAATTTCCGTTAACCGTTAGCCATAAAATGGCAAAAATTTCTAGCTGTTTGGCGTAAAAAAAGGTTAATCGTAAAAAGGTTTTATTTAATCAAAAAGGAAGGAAGTCAATCGTTAACCGTGAAATGGCCAAAATGTTAACTGTTAGCCGTAAAAGCCATCAACCCACTGAAAACAACTGCTAACAGGTTGATCGAAACAAAAACTTTGAAGCTTTCTTCAATAAAAGTTGTATCCTATTTCCTTTTTTCAGTACTTCAAATAGCCTCGACTATATTAGCAGGCAATTTGGATTATAAAAGCAAACTCCATCAGTTTTTGAAACCTGCTGTTGGAAGTCATCCTCAATGGGTGCTGTGCTACCGCGCCTCCTCTCACGGCTGGGCGGCCAGTATCTTCCACAGAAGGTGTGATGGGAAACGGAACACAGTCTCCATCATAAAAGTTGGACAGTACGTGTTTGGAGGATACACGGACATTACATGGGGTAAAAGAATATATTTTCCTCATTCTCTGCTTTGATTGTAACCCAGTAACATAAAGGTGTATCTAAAGAAATAATCTAAGCTTTTAATCTAATCTTTTTTCTAATCTTAAGCTTTTACATCCTGACCCCAAAAAAATGATCGAACAAGTTATAAATTCATGAAAGGAAAAAGAATTGAGTAGTCAAAACGTATGAAAATTTTTCTCTCAGTCTTCTTTAATGTAACTGTCAAGTTCTGGTTTAAAAAAAGCGTTTAATTAAACCTAAGGGAAGAAAACTTATTCTTCTTCAATCTTTAAAGGCC